ATCAAATATGGAACTTGGAAAAGTTTTCTTATTCTTGTACATTTGAGATTGGTAAGTTGTGATGTCTTGGATAAGACAAAGACCAACTAGGACCAACTTGTGAAGTGTTCTTGTCTTGATAATAACTGCACTGACTCTTGAATATTTGATTGTCAAGAAATGTTTCTTGACAAAGAGAATCATATATGTCAAGAGGTCAGTGGGAGTTTTAATGTTTTGAAAAAGTTTCAAGAACAAATCAAATAAACCTTATCGATCATCACTAGCGCACGAGTTGAGGTTTACAACCTATCGTGTTGACATTATTTTGATTCTGTGCCAATCCAATCGAGTTAATTATGCATGTGAGTTCTATGAATTCTCATTTGAATGCATAAAAAGAAAGGACCTTGATCAATGAAAGTACATTGATAAGAAAGGGTGAGCTGCTTAACTACTTGGAAGACGTGGTGGGCAGCTGTGCTACCATAAGGCAAGAAATCAAGATTAAGAAAGGTCAGTCCATATGAGTTTGGATTTGTCATAAACTTTGGTTTTAACAAATTCACATGGATAGGAACAAATACACCATTTAAATCTAAGTGTCATAAGATTTCCTCCTTCATGAAAATGATTGTGAGGAAATGCTTTCACTGAGAAAGATTTTAAGAAGATAGTGATTGTAAAATTGCATTCTCGAATTCGATCATGGTTACGGTATCCATTTCCATAATTTGAATTGTGAGGTTTGCGGATCATATATGAGTTTATGTTCCAAACCTGTCAACCTTTGATATGTATATTTAAATGGATCGTGTTTGGGTTGATATATTTTGACTTGCCAACGCATGACACGCCAACCCAAACACGACACAATTATCATGCTTACTTATTATCTTACTAGTATATGATTATCTTACTAGTATAGGATGGTATGCGGAGCTTGATGATGACAAAACCTAATGTCTATAACACACATTTTGATTAAAATAATGATTACTGGTCTTTTACTAAGTCATTTGGTTGTTTCATTAAATTACATGTTGGAATTAAAAGAATAAAATTGAACAAAATGGAAGGAATCACAATCCTTAAGAATAGTTGATTCAATTCCAGAAGGCAAAACAACATTATTTAAGTTGATTCCATTCCGACGTGGAATGCAAGTATTATATTTTGAAGTCCATGAAAGCGGTTGATGATGAAGAATGTGAATGTTGAAAAACGATTTAATTAAATGGATTAGTTTAACTGATAAAGGACTTGAATTGTTGCAGACTTTTCATATGTATAACTGTTTAATACGCTTTTACTAATATATTAATTTTTGTCTCAGTTTAGGCGAAAGAATGAATATACAATCCTTGAGCTTGATAAGTTGTGTGAAAAACGGGCTACTTATGTCACAACAATAATTACCGTTGATAATTATTTACAAATTACTTTTTGGTGAAAATTTGGAACATACGTTTTTATTTCACACTATATGGTTTCTGTAATGGGTTGTATGAATTTATTTTGCATTATCAAACATTAAATTGTGTAATTTAGCTTGAGATATATATATATATATATATATATATATATATATATATTATATATATATATATATATATATATATATATATATATATATATACACACACACGTAAAATCATAAATGTATGTTGTAAAATTATGTCAAAATCAAGACGTACAAAATATGTTGTAAATGTCTATCAAGAACTACAAACATGTTACGAATTACGACATACAACATCAATTATAATTATGTCGTAAATGTGTGTCGTGTATGTATGTTGTAATTGTAGGTCATAAAGGTCTATCTTAAATTTTATGACAGACAAAATGCCTGTCATTTTCAATTATGACATCACTTTCAATGACATACATTTGTTTGTCATGTATAGGCATTTACGACGGACATTGTGTGTCAAATGATAGCCTTTTTTCTAGTAGTGTAGGTTAGAGAAATTGAAAGAGAAGGTTATTAAGAAGTAGAAGTTGTTCAAGAAAATGATGCGACACAAAATAAATTTGGTATAATTTAGAAAAAATTTGAAGTTATGTTTCCAGAAAGATAACCAAAAAGTAATTACTTTATGTGACATTAGTAATCAAAAAATGTTTGTGTAATACTAAAATATATGTTTGCATATTAAAATAAATAATTAAATTAAAATAGATAACAAAATGGAGTGCTAGGAATGTTATCACTCCCTACCAAATGTTAAGATTATGTGTTAAATGGAGAAAAATGATATGTCACTCAAAAAGCTGACATGACAAGGTGTTAGGAGTGTTACCATTCCCCTTAATCTTAGTGGCAACATTCGGATATTAGAGGCATAGGGAATATTTGTAATTCTTTTGTGTGTTCACGAGGACAACCAACAACACTATTGACGTTCGTCCATCATCGAAAGATTGGCAGCAATTGGATCGAGCGGTTAATCAATAGCTAGGGGACATTAATCATTGATCACACAAATCATGGTTAAAAGGCTTTAGCGACGATGCCATCTATAGCGAGGACACTTAAAAGAGTTCACTGAATGTCCTCGCTATAGTTTGGGATTTCTTGTAGTGAGATCGAAATTGTTCTAAATATGGATATCATGTTAGCCATTGTATATATTATATATGAAGAAAAACTAACATTATAATTCATATTTAAGAAAATTACATGATTCGTCTCTCGTCCAAGTGTCAAATTGTTCGTTTAATCCCTATTTTCAAATATTAACTCGGACCGTCCCTGTAATGTTTATTTCTCACTTGGACGGTCCTTGACGAACATAAAATGACTATTTTACCCGTTCTCTTTCTTTTTTGGTATGCTTTTGATTTGTTTGTTGTTAAAAATTTAAAAGAAAAATAAAAAATAAAGAAAAACAAAAAATGGCCCACCAATACAAACGCTTATCATCTACACTAACCCCACTCACACCCTTCAATCATTTATCAACATTTTATCTTCATGAGTTTATCTTCTATCATCGGATCAATGAACAACACTATCGGACCACAGTGCAACACCGTCGGACCACCACGTAAAACCACCAGATCGCCACCTCTTCTTACCTTAGAAACATCATCGACTATCCTTTCTTCCCTCGTTCTTCTTCCCGGTTAGTCCTTAAGCCACCACCATCGACCATCAGGTCTGTAGAAACTCCAGATAGAATAGAGGAACACAAATACACATTTTTTGTGTTTACTGATACAATACAGATAAAGACAGCATAAGAAAGACAGAGATAGAGCTACCATCACCACTCCGCCATCGTCATCTGCAGGTGGTGGTTGTCGGAGGTGGCTTCATCTTCTTCATCTAAATCCATCTTCACTAGTGTACAACCCACCGTATCAGGTTGTAACCCAACAGATCCGGTGAATATTGACGGTTATTTCATGTGGTTTTAACAGATCTGTTACCGTTGAGATCCAAACCTTAGCCGACGAAGATGTCGGCGCAAATGTGACAAAACCCTAGCGTACAAAGGCTTGGAGGCGATGATTACTTGCAGATCTGAGGCGGTGTTTAGTGATGATATAGGTGAAGGAGGTCGGAGGCGGTTTCACCGACGTTCTGGGGTGAAGGAAGCAGGAAAGGATGGTCGGCAACGTCATTGGTTGGCTAGGGTTTTGGATTCCTATCGGGAGTGTGTGAGAAAGAAGGAGACAATATCAGATGGTGTCTTTATTGGCTGCAGAACAGCATAGATGTGGTGGGGCTGGAGCACCAGCGGTGATGGAGTGGTGGTGGAGCATCGGCAATGATGCAGGTGGGTGGTGGGGTGGTGGTTCATGAAAGAAAAGATGAAAAAGAAGGATATAAGAAGGTGGGGCCCAATTATTTAATCATTTCTTTTAACTTTTAATTAATAATAATAACAATCTAATAATAAATAAAAATAAAAGAATAAGGGAAAAAAAGACATTTTATGTCCGGTAAGCAATTTAAGGAACGAAATGTGAAATTTTTAGTGATATAAGGGATTATCCGAATTAACTTTTGAAAATAAAAACTAAACTAGAAATTTGACAATTTGACGAGGGACGAATCATGTAATTTACTCTTCATATTTTAGCGAGCAAAGCTTTCAGCAAGCACCTGTACTTGCTAAAAGTCTCAACAAATTTACATGATCAATTATTAGATAAGACAACCTTAAAAACCTTTATAGCATTACATGTCATTGACGAAAATTGCACTTTAGTGACGACTGTAGTGTAAATTTCAAAGTTAATAAAACGTTATTTGCATAATATAAGTTGAATATGTAATTTTTTTTTTTTATCATCCTTCAATGAGAGAAGAGTTAGTTTCAAGTACATTCAAATCGAACCATCTCCCAAAGAAAGTTTAGTAAATCAAACTTCAAATATTTTGAATATTATATATATATATATATATATATATATATATATATATATATATATATATATATATATATATATATATATATATATATATATTCGGTAAGAAATTTTTTTTAGTAGGAAGGTAAGAAGTTTTTTTTCTAAATATTTTTTTGACGAACAAAATAAATGAATCACTACATGATTCATTTGTAAGATGATTCACAAGAAAAAATTCTCAAAAAAAACATCTTTATGATTCATTTTTAAGTAAATTAAGAAAAAATTAATTTTTATGATAATTTTAGTGAATAACGACAAAATCATTGTATAAATGAATCATCGAGATATTTTTTTGAGAATTTTTTCTTGTGAATCATCTTACAAATGAATCATCTAATGATTCATTTTGTTTGTTCGCGAAAAAAATATGTAGAAAAAAACTTCTTACCTTCCTACAAAAAATTTCCTTCTTATTTGATCTTGACTCTCTCTCTCTCTCTCTCTCTCTCTCTCTCTCTCTCTCTCTCTCTCTCTCTCTCTCTCTCTCTCTCTCTCTCTCTCTCTCTCTCTCTCTCTCTATATATATATATATATATATATATATATATATATATATATATATATATATAATATATATATATATATATATATATATATATATATATATATCGAAACATCTTCATTATTATCGTCCAACGAATGAAAACACAAACAAACAACAAATTGCACGTAGATTGTTCATTCACATATCTCAACTTGGTTATAGGGCGCATATGTATCTTTATTGTGTATCCACTCGATAAAATTGCCAAGATTTTTGTGTGAGCATCCTCCTTCTTTGATAGTGCTTGTAACCTTTTCTTTAATATCCATGGCCTTAGCTTTGAATGAATTGTCTCCGAGCAGCTGCTCTACCTTACCTTTTATCTCTCCTCGTGTGATGATACCTGCTTCATCTTTGTTAAACCCCAGCCCAGTCTTCCAAATGTCACGAATATAAGTTTCATTGTCAAACTGATCAGCAAAGTATGGCCAGCACAAGAAAGGGAGTCCATTTGTAACACCCTCTAAAGTAGAATTCCAACCACAATGACTCACAAAACAAGCCACAGAAGGATGAGCTAACACTTTCTGTTGAGGTGCCCAACTCACAATTCTTCCACGAGAGCCTACTCTTTCCACATACCCTTCTGGGAAAGAAGCCGTAGTCTCCTTTGTCATGCCTGGTCGCACAACCCACAAGAATGGTCTGTTGCTAAGTTCAAGAGCAAGTGCCAATTCTTCAAACTGTGTTTGATTGAAAATGGTGAAGCTCCCAAATGCTACATAAATGACCGAACATGATGGCTGTTGGTCGAGCCATGGAAGACAGGTGGCGTCTTCTTGCCAGAAGTGGCCTGCTTGGTCTGCAAGTCGGTTGCTAGCCAGCAATGGACCAATCGGCAACAGCTGCGGGTACAGGCTGAATGCAGCCGGCTCCAGCTCAGTAGTCGAGTTACATAAAAACCATTCAGTCAAACTAGCGGCTTCAACAGCTTCTACTACAACTTTAAAAAAGGCTTTTACAGTGCCCAACTCCTGAAAGCACGTCCATGGCAGGTTCGTGGACTTGATAGGTGGCATGCTTTCTGACAGCTGAATCATTTGATCATTTATAGGTACACCTGCATTGAAAAAATCATAAAAAAATGTTAATGGACATTCTTAGACTCTTATATTATATGATACATGTAATCGTAGATGTTTCACCATTGTTGTTAACGATTCCATCATCAATCAGTTTCTGAAAGCTCATCACGTAGGCCAATGTAGCAACTGAGGCTGGCCAGAAGGCTGCTCTTCTGATTCCCATCTTCTTTGCGACTTTTATGGCCCATCCCATGCAATCATCAGCAATAATACAGGTAACGTTACTGCTGTCTTCTTTGTTAATCGTCTCTATAAGCTCTTCTAGTTTGCACGACATAGTTTGTAATATTGACGTCGTCAACTTGCATAGGTCACTCCTGTCCTCCCATGGCTCTAACCCATCAGGGACTGAAACCAACTGCATTAGATCCCCAAAACCATCCTTCACCAACGAATTGCTTGTGACAAGCTTGTGATTAACCTCTGTGTTTACAAATGTAACTTTGATTCCTTGCTTGACTAAGCATTGAGCAAGCTCCATTATAGGGATTACATGGCCTTGTGCGGGATAAGGTATGACTAGAACATGAGGTCTTGCCATGATTTCTAGAGGAAGTTTTCTGAGGAGTCTCGGGAAAGTGTTGGTGTTTCTATAATTGTCTGCTCAACTTTATATATTGACATAAATGACGTATATGTCAAGGCTTTTTTGTTAGTTACCTTTTGCGTCATAATTTTATCTGTTTCGTCCCATTCGGTGATTGAGATCTCCTTATCTGTGGCCATTTCTGGAATTCAGCTGAAATTACTTTCTCGGATCTTCTTTCTTGACTCCATACTCTTTATTGCATGATAAAACGACATCTCTGAAAACAGGCGTTGATGGACCCTTCAATAATTTTCTTACCTTTTGTGGCATATATATGAACCCTGCAATTCGGGTATAGTTTGGAGATCACTATAGGCCATATGATTTTCCATGCCCCGCTAGCTGTGATTGACTTGTCATATACCCAATGAAAGTATATAAATTATGGGGATCAAGTCAGCCAAATCTAGAAGCATCCGACAGCAACTTCCCATAAGATGTAAAATATTGGTACAAAAATTATTGCATCATCAATTTAGATAAGCAACATCTGGACATCAAGCAACCGGTAGTCATAGCCATAGCCATATTTTTATTGTTAGACACACATTTAAGCAAAAAAAGCAAAAAAACAAGAAAAAAATAACAAAGAATTAATGTGGTTCGATCAAAATGATCTACGTCTAATGACATTTAGGTGACATCTTTTTTATTTCTATAACTTTTTCAAAAGAGATACACTAGAAAACCTAGTTACTAATCAGAGACGGAGGCAAAAAAAAAAAAAAAAAGTTTAGGGTTTTCGTTTTAAAATAATTGATATATAGGACGGTTCTTGAAAGCTCTATGTGAAAAGTGAAAATGGCTCCGTAAATACAATTTTTTATATATATAAGAAAAATAAATCTAAAAAAGAAAAACCAAAAACTAAATTAAATTATCTAAAAATGCAATTATACAAATTTATACAATTTAAGGTATGAAATATATAAGTTTTCAAAACTAACTTGCTAAAGGAATTTAATTTGTCAATATATATATATGAGGAGCCAAAATGTTATTTAAGAAAAATATTATTAAAAAAAATCTACCAAATGTAATCCACATGTTCGAACTCACATTGCTTGGGAAAGAGATAATACACATTGCCTGTTGATCTACAAATAGTATTTAAGTAACATTGACCTAAAGAATATCTTATTACTAAATGAAAAAAATAAAAAAAGTTGAGGGTGGGTATCTATATTTCATTCTAGGACGGTCCAGGTTTTCTAGGTCGGAGCCACCTAAAAAAATCTAGGGTTTTCCTTTTAAAATAATTGATATATAGGACGGTCCTTGAAGGCTCTACCCTGGTTACTAATACATATAACCAATAACTCTAACAAGAAATTCATAATAACAAAACATGTTTCTTCACTTATCCTTTCGAAATCAACATTTTGTTATCTACATTTCATTACTGGTGGGTAATTTATTCGGATCCCCAAAATTTAAGGCACACTCTAACTAACAATCCCCACTTTGACTTGAATTCACTTTAACCAACAAAGATTCCTACGAGTCATCTCCTTCATTCCAGTTTGCCCTGAAAGGACTTACTTCTCATGAACATTCAAAAGTCAAAGCAATACTTGAACTTCTTTGATGGAAGCGGCTTTGCTAATATAACTATTAGGTTCTCTATAGTAACTATCTTTCAATATTGTCTTCTTCAAGAACATTACGAATGATACTTGTTATGCTTAAATAACTTTGATTTTCACAATAAAAAGGAGACATCTCAATCTTCAACCTAAGATTTTGAACAAGACAACGTAGACATATACTGAAACACCTCTCACATGATAGACCGGATTACTTGTGTTTCATCAATTGATATCAGAGTCGGGATGTTTTTTGCTCTTTAACTATATATATCATCATTGTCAGCAACATTGATTTCCTATATTTTCGAAAAAACAAGAAATAATTCTCTATATACACCACCTTCGCTTAAATTCTCCTTCAAAATCATCAATTACAATTCTAAACTTAAAACCTATATATGTTGTAAATGTCACAAATAGTTTCACATATTCTACTAGGAAACCATGATCCTGAAGAAGTTGAGGCCCAATACTCCTCTAGTAGTGGTGGTGACATTTACAGTTAGAGAAAAAATAAATGCATGGTATAATGAAGGATGTTGGGTACTCATGTTTGTTCAAATACAGGGTGAGTAGTATGTTGTACACTTTGAACAAGACACTCAATGATGATTTTGTTTCAGAAGATGAATAAATTGTAATTGATTAAAGTTGTTGAAGAAATGAAAAAAAAGGTTATGCTAATTTATTTTTAATTTGAAAAAACAAAAACTTAATGAAAAGATAATTAACATAAAAAAATAATAGAAATTTACAGAGATTGAGCTGAAAAACCTTAAGATCAATAGTTCATTATTTGTTGGAAAATACAACGACTCAATCCTTCCTTTTCTGAACAATGTCTATAATGAAGTGGTGTCTAATCTATATATGCTTTGTTTTAAGTGATGAACAAGATTCTGAGTGATTTGAATTGCACTAGTGTTGTCATAACATACTTGAGTTTTTTTAGCATCGACTGATAATCCAAAAGCTGATTTTGGGTTCATGGTACTTGAGCACAACATCTACCAGCTCCAACATACTCAAATTCAATTATTAAACATGTAATTGAGGTTTAGTTCATGGAAGACCAGCTAATGAGTCTTCCACCTAGATGTTGACATCCTATAGATGTGCTTTTTTTTGTCTAATGTACACTCTACATAGTCGTTCAAAGGATACTTCTAATACTTTCAAAGATGTACTTACTATAGTTGATGAATATACATTGAGTAGACTATTTTACATGTTCGTCTCTCGAATCATGCTCATCTCAAACTTATTTTCCAAACAAATCTAAATTTTTCACACAACTTTTTACTGGTAGAGCCAAAAAATAATATCATCAACATATACTTGAGCATTGATAAGATCACAGGTTGTTTTCTTAAAGAATAATGTGCTTTATTTTCTCCACTTTTGTAACCGTTTTAAATAAGATAAGTTGGAAATGTATCATACCATGCTTTAGGGGCTTGCTTAAGTCTATAGAAAATCTTATCGAGTCTATATATAGACATGATTTAGTAAGTCTTCAAGTTCAAACCCTGGATACTACTTGAGAAATTCTTATTCTTGTAAATCTCGATAAAGTAAGGAAGTCTTAACATCCATTTGATACACATTGACCTTTTAAATGAAGTACAATCTACAAATAATCTGATAGCTTCAAGCCTTGCACTGTGAGAACCCAAAATTTCCATTATGTACGAACTTTATAAGGTCAATAGAAGTTATAACAGTCACAGTAAATTTTCAGACTTTTTAGTATAAGTTTGAGTATTTCAGGATTTACACTTAAGGAGATATCAAAAAGGTGGTTGCACTAGGGTTTTGTGCAACATTGTTATTCCAAAACTCTATCACATTAGAATTCATTATGGGAATAAAATATTTTCTGCTAAAAATCTCAAGACTATATATAGAATTTTGAGCCATATTCATTCATTATTGACAATTCCAACTAGAGGAAAGCCATTTCTCTCTCACGGATCTTCGGGTTTTCATCCCAAATCGTGAGTACCCTTCTCTAGTTACATTATATGGCATATAACATGTTTAATAACCTCGATTACATAGAAAATCTTTAAGATTCGGGAGTTTACCGCCTAAGAACGTTCTTGGAGAGTAAACTCCTATATGAGGCTTATATGATGCCTAGTCCCTTCCACATGTTAAATAACGACCTTAGGCTTGTATGTAAGTGTACTTAAGACAAGAAAACATCAAAGAAACACCCAATTTTAGGTGTTCACGGCCCAAGGAGTTCTTGGACCGTGAACTCCACAAACAAGGACCAAAGGGTGTTTTTAACACTTTTAAAGCTTTGGACAATTACCTAGGTTTACTCCTACATAAATTAAGGACTTAAACACATCCAAAAACCCCAATTTTGAGAGTTTACAGCCCTATGCTTGTGCTTGGGCCATGAACATCAAATTAAGGCACCAAAGTGTGCCTAAGGCCTTCATTTGCTTAGGGTAAAAGTCTAGAACCTATCCTACATGTGCTTGGGACTTGAAAGCATAAAAACACCCATCCCATGAGATTTTACGGCAGTAAACTCCAAAGGAAATAGTCTTTGGGCCGAAAACCCCTAAAAGGAGTGTATTAATGCCCTAAACTACCCAAAGGATTAAACCACCAAGTAGAACTTATTCTAGAAATCAAGTAACACTTCAAAACAAATAATGTCAACATGTTTGAGAGCATACAGCCGTAAACTCAAGGGTTTACAACCATAAACTCCTTGTGTGGAGTTTATTGAAGAGTAAACACATATATAGGGCTTTTGGAACCCTAAACCCCTTTAGCCTTGTCCCACAACAACTTAGAGGCAACCCTTAGGACTTATAACACTTATACAAAGTGTTTTCATGTACTAGAGTGTCCCAACTTAATTTATTAGTTATAATTTGGCTAATTAGTTATATATATATATATATATATATATATATATATATATATATATATTCTCATTATATGATAACTAGGCTCGTGCATGTGAACAAGTCTCCGTTTGCCACCTGGCACAGTATCCAACACTTCAATCCAATCCACTCACCACAAGTGAGTTCATACCCCTTAACCAATGATTTAAATGTTTTTAAATGCTTTATGGGGGGGATACAAGTTAAATACTTATAGTTATTACATCAATCACATGTGATTAATAACTACAAAACCAATGATTTCTTACCGTTCAAACTGTTTATCAAACCGTATTGTTTCAAACTGTTTTACAAACTCTTTTACTTATCAAATACTTTCATTTAAACTCTTTAATACTTATTATCAATTGCATGTCTATGTATGTATACTTATATAATAAATGTTTAAAAGGCTTAGGAAGGCCTGCCGCCCTATTCCTTTTAGGCTTGAGATGTGGTCTGGTGGGATATCGGGTATCCGTCCGAAGGTCATTTAAATATTAATTATATATCATGTGTACATATGTAGTCATAAAGGTCCTTCCAGTTCATTCAGTACCCTTGGTAGCAAGGGTATACTTCCAGGTTCATACGTA